GGGGATAAAAAAAAGAGAATCCAACCACCAATTTATTAATTAGTTGTCTTTGCAGTAAATAATAAATTTGTTTTAATTTTGTTAAAATTATTTTTTTTATTATTTTACCTTTTTGTTTTTTGTGTATACAGATTTAATTTTGGGTCATTAAAATAGAATAATAGGTTGTATAATATTTTATTTCTGTTTATGATTTTCCTCACCCACTCTGCAATGCATTCATGACATGAGCTAAAACCCCGCTCTTATCTTATTTAGTTCGAATGAGAAACTACTTCCTCGTGTGGTTTTCACCTCCGTATGGGATAGGAGACCATTCCTTGAGCTCACACCTTATGTTTCTCGTGTGGTTTTCATTTTCGTTTGAACATAAAGAGGTGTGTTCCTTCGAATTGAACTTGATCCGAAGGTCTGTAATGAACCAGGGTTGAGGGCTTAGTAGTCCAAGGGGATACCAACAAAGGAAAATTCGTTGACCCTTTTTACCTTAGAGCCAAAACCCAGCATATAATAAAACTTAGAACTTAAGTCTAGGTGGAGCCTAACTTGAATAAGTCTTGTAAGATTAAGCACACAAGGGAACATGTTGAGTCTTTTATTTTTTTTAGTATTATTTTATTTTCTGAATAAATGCATGCGAATTTGAAATCATGCAGTTAGGTTTACTTCCAAACAAAGCATGAAACTAGAAAGCACGAGGATAGGATTTTTATGTATATACATTTTATTTACTCTAACTTGTTTATATTAATCTATTTTGCTTGCATGCATAATCATGACATAATCGAAGGTGTTGATTCGATAGTGATCATCAAAAAGATTTTCATTATGGAAAAAGGGTTTTATGATCAAGTAAACTATAACACAGCCAAGGAAGGGCATCATGATGAAAATCCGAGGATAGAAGAGAGCTATGTACCCAAAGATCGTATGTCCGTTGAAGAGCAAAAGGAGATACAAGAGATAAAAGGAGAAAATGTTCAAGATGATGGATAGAACATATATTTTGACCAATGAAAAAGAGACTCTTGCATAAAAGGAAAGAGAGCTCAATGAACCTAATACTGCAATTTCAGTTATACATGGGACTTCTGATCCTAACCAATGTGAGAAATTTTGTACAATCACCATTTATACCAACAATTTGTCAGGAAACCCTAAGGAAATAATTGTAAAATTTCCTAGAGATGAAAAAAAACCATGTATTTAGAACTCATCATCGTTGAGGAGTCATTTCCCAACTTCAGAAACTCAGGATCAATCTAGTTTGGTCACTTATTATCCTGGAAGGTTAATACTAAAGGTATTCAAAGATAAGAATATCAGTAGGGGCATCCAAAAGGAAGGAAATCCGCTGAAGAATGAGGCTCAAATACGTCATTTGGAAACTGAAAATGATAAACAAAGGGCAGAAATGGAAACTATGCGTGAGGATTTCCAAAGGATCAGTCAAGCCTTTTAAAAGGTTGGTTTAGGAAATACCCTAGAAGAGTGGATAACAGGGGTCACTAAACTGAAAACGAATTGCAAGAAACACGAAGATCAAGGTAAGAAGTTTTTTCTTGATTTAAGGGTTGCAAAAGAAATGTGCGATACAACTGATATTAAGTTAGACAGATGTCAAGCCGAAAATCAAATTTTGAATAAGGTCATACTCAAAATGGAGGATTCATATCATATCCATCAGTGTGGAATTGAAGCTGAACTAGAAGACATTAAAGCCAAAAATAAGGAATTGATGACGTTTTTGGATCCTGTACAAGAGCTTATTGATCACAAAGATTCCCTTACAAGGAAAAATGAACAGTATTGTTTACAAATCTAGGAATTGAGATGTAAGCTAAAGGAAAAAGATAATATCATAAAGGAAGTTGTTGCCCAAGCAAGCAATGTGGCTCGTAAACTGATTGATTTAGCTGTCTTTACGCAAGAATTAAAGCAGATTGACAACTCTACACCTGAGCATGAGTGGAAATTAATTTGGCTTTTGAGGGAAATAGAAAAATTGAGAGTTAAAGCTATCCCTTATATGTAAAGTTTGTTTGATGTATCGAAACTTTGGTGTTCAATAATTTTTTTAAAGATAATCACTCTCGAATGATACCTTTTGCATACATACATTTCCATTGCACATTTTGTATTCTCATTTTTGCATTTTTTGCATTTACATCACATTTAATTATTCAAGTTTTTCTACATACATGTAAATAATTCATAAAAGATTTTGTAACAGTAAAATCAAGATCATTCATTCATATTACTGTGTCATCAACATGGAAACAATGAGGCAATATCATGAGGGATCACAAGATCAGCTACAAGAACAGTTTGGAAGGTTCCATCAAGACATAAGTAATGAAACATTAGAGGATGGATCGAATCATATGGTCCAAGTAATGGAAACTAGAACTGCTAATGAATAAGAGATGACTGCAAAAGAGCAACAATGCTATTAAAGTATTTATCACTTAAACTAATATTTTTTAATAATAATGTATTTCAATATACCACATGTAATTTAGAATTTTCCCACTTTCTATAAGGGGGTGTTTGGATCAAGGAATATGGGATTCCCATGGGAATGGAATCCACATTCCCATGTTTGGTTGGCTGGGAATCTCATTCCCGGTAATGTTTTATTACCAATAGTAGATTTTTGGGATATATTACTGGGAATGTCATTACCTCCCTTTCCTTAGGTATTGTTGGATTACCGGTATTTTAGACTAAAATGCCCTTAATTTTTTTCTTTAAAAAATATCATTATTCTGTCATTGAATAATAAAAATTCTACGAAATTTAAATTACAAATTTATCCTTAAAATATTTTAGATTTACAAAAAAAAGTGTATAATTAAAATTTTATACGAAGTTCAGTGGTTAAAATAAAATTTACTCTTTCATTAAACCTTTTTATATTTTTAATTTTGTAAAAAAATATATATAAATTTTATGAATTTAAATTTTTTAAAGAAAATATATAAATATTAAATAAATATTTTTCAACTTGTAAAAAAATAAATATATAATAAGGACACTTTTGTCAAATATACATTGCAATAATCTTTTATTCCTTTAACCAAACACAGTAATCTTACATTTATGCTAATCAACCAAACACAAAATACAACATTTCAGTAATCCTATTCCCTGATAATCTTACATTTTTACTGATAATCTTACATTCCCACTGATGATCTTACATTTTGTGAACCAAACGCACTTAAGAAATTTTGATAAGATGCGCTTTGAGGACAATGCTATAATCATAAAAAGAAAATATTTAAATAATAAAACTCATTTAATTATTTGAGACAGTAAAACCGTGATTGGTTAAAAGGAAAATATAAAGTTGGGTCCAATCCTTCGAGTGGAGGCCCACACTTGATTGAAACCGCCTCCATTTTCGTTTCAGCCATCAGATATCAATGACCTGACATTTATTTATGAAAATATCTACAATACCATATTATAATTATGTAAAAAATGATATTTACAAAAAAAAAATAATGAAGTTCCCTCCAAGATTTATTAATTGGATTTATAATCTATTTTAATTTGAAAAATTAATATACATTCAATTATAGTAATTCAACCAGGGATGGTTAAAACTTATAAACTCGAAAATTTCTGATATGATCCAATCATGTATGAGTGTTTCTTTTTTAAATTTCGAGACTCGAGACGAGATGTGATCGTGTTTAAGGTAAAAAAATTATCGACCTAACATGACTCGATTAATTTATTTTTTCATATATATTATATTTAATAGTTTATGAATTTTCATCTTATATTATTAAAATATATCATTTAATTATTAAAAATATAAAAATATTATAAAATATATTATTTAAAATTATTTTAAAGTACTAATATATTCAAATTGAATCAGAGTAAAGATTTTAATTTAAAAATCAAAACGGAATCAAAACAGAAAAAAAACAAAAAATTTATCATAGCGAAAAGAGATCAAAGTATAAGATTTATATTTTTAGGGGGTCAAAGCGATAAAAAACTGGTTCGTCCAGCCCCTTGTCTATCCCTAAATTCAACTCTTAAATAAATTATATAAAATATTATATTTATTTATTTATTGAGAGTGGTTGTCTTTTTGTCTAAAAGGTTGGAAATGCCGGTACTGGAGGGCAAGAGGTCAAGTCACAGACTATAACCTTTTTGTTTCGTTCCGTTTCTCCATTTTGCATAAACCATACGGAAATACGGATAAAAACAATGCAAACTTGATTTTTTTTTCTAAATATTTATAAATAAATTGATACAATATGTTAAATTTAGGGTAAATTACACTTTCAGTATCTTATTATCAATTTTATTCTATTTTGGACACTTAATTACTTTTAAAAAATATATATATCTAAGTTATGTTTTTGGTTTCATTTTTATTGTTAAAAAATTAATAGAATTGTTGACATGATATTTTTTTTAAAAAATCAATAATGATGTATCATTATATTATGATGACACGTCAACATCGTTATTAATTTTTAACAGCGTGTGACAAAAATAAAATTAAAACTAAACGTTAGATTTGACTTAAAAAAATAGTTGAGTGATCGAAACAAAATAAAAATAATAATTAAGGTATTAAACTTGTAATTCACCCTAAAATTTAAATAAATATATTTCTTAAATAAATACAAAATAATATTAAATTGTGAACTTAAAAAAATAAAAATTGGTATGTGTCAAATGCTTCATGACATGGCAGCATGATCTTGTTATCTCTTGGTTCAATGTCCCACTCGTTTGCATATGAAAAGAAGCAAAATTAAAAGTCCAAAACTTTGTTGAGGTGTTTTATATTTTGCAATGGATTAAAATAGGACAAATGTGTATATCTATGGGCTAAAAACACCAAAAAAAATCAAAAAAATAATAATTTAAAAATTTGACAATTCCCCTACTGTCATCACTACAAGCTGAATATAAACACGAAACTATCAGAAGAACCAATCAATATTACTGGAAAATCAACAAAATCTTGTCTTTTTCTCTTTTATATATATACTAAAAAACAGAAAAATAGGGTAAAATGGCAGAGAAGGGAACAAGATCAAAGCTTTTAGCTCCAACTCGTCCATCAATAACTTTACCACCAAAACAAGGCATGGAGGGCTTATTTTCAGGTGGTTTAGGACCGAGTCCAGGGCCTATGACACTGGTTTCAGCTTTTTTTCCCGACCTTGACTCATTGAAGCGGCCTTTCTCTCAGCTTTTAGCTTCAGCAATGGCTTCACCTAGAGCTAGATTACCTCACAGTTCAATGGATGCTTCATTTATGGATGTGGGTTTTAAAGATGGAGGTGAAAAAGGCCCTGGGTTTAAGCAAAACAGACCTTTGAATTTCGAGTCTCCTTTCTTCACTGTGCATCCTGGGTTCAGCCCATCTGGTTTGCTTAATTCTTCAACCTTCTTTTGTCTTTCTCCTCAGGTAAATTCACTTCACTTTTAAATTTGTTGGCATGCTTTGTTCTTGCTTTTAAAAGGGGGGAAAAGCCTTTTGTTAAGGTAAATGATGTGGATGATTATAGCTTTGCTTATTCGGATTCAGCATCCTTCTTCATTACTTTTCAGACATGTTTTTGGAGCTAAATTTGAGATCAAAAGCAATGAAAAAATGTATTTTTTCGTACAAAAGTGCTTCTAAACTTGAGTTTATTACTTTTCAAAAGGTTGAAATTTATAGTTTTTAATTATTGTTTTAAGTAAAATTATCCATTTATAAACCCTTTTTGACAGTAATGTTAAACATTTCAATTGTAAAAAAAATAATAATCCAAAAGCACTTTTCAAACTAGGAGGTATTTTTAATTTGTTTGGAATTTTTTTTCTTGGAGTGCCATATGCATGTGTCGGATAAGGTTCATCTTTAATCCATTAAATTAGGAATTGTTTCTAATAAAACATTGATCTGTTGAGGATGATGATCTGTGTTTGGGCATGGATGTGTGGCTTATGTGTGCATTTTCTTCTTCTATGATGAAGTCTCACGGTTTGCATCAAAATCGAACTTTTGGTTTAGAATGGATGAGATTTTGAGTAGATGACAATATTGTGATTATCTTCTTCTTTTTTCACTTTTTTTTTTTTGCAAATGTTTAATTTTCCGATTACTGGCTCAAATGTTGCCGGGGATGTTAGATTGCAACATTGAAATTATTATCTTATTCTGATGATAATCGCCAATCGAATTTTTAGTCCATTATATTTGCAGAGTCCTTTCGGAATATCCCACCAGCAAGCATTGGAACAGGTCACAGCTCAAGCTTCCCTAACACAATCCCATGTTCGTCCACAAACTGAATATCAAACATTGTCAGTATCAGCTACTTCGGAGTTGTTGATCTGTCATCCGTCCTTCACTCCCGAAGAAACGTTGCAGTTGATGCCTCATTCAGCCTCGGAACCTGAAAGTTCAGCAGTGGAATACTTGGAAGCTTCTCAATCTTATAGGAAAAACCAACTCTCGATAGCGGTGGATAAGCCTGCCGAAGATGGCTACAACTGGCGTAAGTACGGGCAGAAACCTATTAAAGGCTGTGAATATCCTCGAAGCTACTACAAGTGTACGCATTCAAATTGCCCCGTCAAAAAGAAGGTTGAACGATCAGCTGATGGCCATATAACCGAAATCATATACAAAGGTGCACACAATCATGATAAGCCTCAGCCAAATAAACAAGCAAAGAGTGGTACTGATGGAAATTCAAATTTGCTGGCAAATCCTGATTTCGGTTCTCAGTGTGAAGCATTAAATTCGAACAAGTTAAGTGAAACAATGTCATCTCAAGCTGCGGAATTACCTGGATCAAGTGACAGCGAGGAAGGATGTGATGAAGAGAGTCGAGAAGAAAGAGATGATGATGAACCAAATCCGAAAAAACAGTAAGTTCCAACTAATTTTAACTTACTATACAGGTTCAAATTTCTTAAATCTTCATAAATTTTGAGGGTGTTGGGTTTTTTAATGCAGGAATACTGCGAGAGAAGCCTCAGTTGTGTTGTCACACAAGACGGTCACGGAACCAAAAATTATCGTACAAACAAGAAGTGAAGTTGACCTTTTAGATGATGGCTATAGGTGGCGCAAATATGGACAAAAAGTGGTCAAAGGGAACTCTCATCCAAGGTGCAGTTGACTATATATATATATATATATATATATGTATATGTATATATGTGAATGTGTTACAGTCTAGTTATGTATCAGATACGAATGTGTTGGATTCTAATGATCTTTAAGAAGTGTCAAACTAATCCAAAGTTCAGAACGATCTCATATCGGAGAAGCAACGATGTCACCATGATATCCATGTTGCTGGTTTGCTCATTAAACTTGCATATTAGTAGCAATGCTGTTATCATGTTGCAGATACATGTGTGATTATTGCAACTTTTGGGATTATTTCTGATGCATCTAAGCTATTGTCACAGGAGTTATTACAAATGCACGAGTGCCGGATGCAATGTTAGGAAGCAAGTTGAAAGAGCATCGACCGATCCCAAAGCCGTCATAACAACATATGAGGGTAAACATAATCACAGCGTTCCAGCGGCTAGAAACAGTAGCCACAACACAGCCAACAACAGTTTACCGCAGCCGAAACCGCTAAAGATGGCTGCCGAGAATGAGAACCGTGCTTTGCTTAAAGAGATGGATTTTGGGGGACCAGCCGTTTTAAGACTAAAGGAGGAGCAGATGAGAGTGTAATCCCCTACCTGCTAAAAGGTGCTAGAAGAACAGGAGGTATGGTCCTCCGGCAGCTTGTCCAGGCCATATAACACGGTATGAAAAATGAGTAAGCTTGTGACAGTAAGGGCCGAATAAATGCAGCTAAAATTGAATGATAAAATCGACTAAACCATTATTTGACTACCCAATTTTGCATGTTGGAATTTATAACTAATGTTGTAGATTATATCAGAGGTTGTTCAAGTTGCTAGGGCTTGTTTGCTGCAGCTGGTGCTGATTTATGCTTTGTAAGGTTCGGTTAACAACAATGACCATTTTGATCCTATGTTGCTCGGATTTGTGTCTGTTGGATTCGAGCTTGTGTCTGACATGAATATGCTTAATGTTTTTTAGAAAAAAATTTATTTGTATCAAAAGCTTTTGGAGTATCATATATGTATGGTTTTCATGGAGGAGCTTTATGGCAATATATGCAAATATATCGATTCATTTATAAGTATTTACCAAAAATCAGTTGGTAGAGTACAAGGCTCTTAACCTTGAGGTCGTGGGATCGAGTCTCACGGTGAGCAATTTATAATTTAGAGGTCTTCCACGGAAGCTTCTCTTAATCTGGTGTTGGGGACAACCTACTATCTTATCTCCCCCTTACCCCATTACATATTGGAATAAGGGTCATCTAATTTTTTTACCAAAAAAAAAAAAGTACAAAAGAAAAGTTAACTAGCAATGAGAACTTCTTTATCATATAAAATTTAGATTACATTTAACTTTTGGTTTGATTACTCCGTTCATCATTAAACTTTAGTTTCTCTCCTATTTCACTTATTGTACTTTTAATTTTTCAATTTACTCACTGAACTTTATACATTGAATTTTTTGTATCACTCTACCGTTAACTATCCAATGACATTATGACATTAATAAATTAAATTATTTTGGTTAAATTTCATTTCATAAAATAATAATTAAATTAAATTATTTTTTTAACTCTTGACTTTTAAACTCTTTATTTTCTCTCTCTCTTACTATTCTTTCTTCTCCTAAACTCTCATTTCTTTCCCTTCACTCTCTTCACCCATCGAAATTCCATCAACCTCTCCAACCAAACCCATCCCTTCCTTTTCGGCCACCCTCCGAGCACTCTTTATGCCTCTTCACTCCTAATTTCACTCCATCGTCCCATCAACATCTAACAAAACCCTAAATTTACCCCATTACTAAATCTAATCATAACTTTAATCTCACCCCTAATTTATAACAACAATAACCATCATAATACATCAACAACAATAGCAACCAAAACAATAACAAGTCTGCCGTTAACGTTCTCTGAAGACGGATGTAAGAGTTTGTGTATAAATTCCTTTATTTTTGAGATAATTATTGAGAATGACATTTGGGTTTGTTTGATTCTTTATTTTTCAGGCTTAATACAAAAATTATTACCTAAAATATACCTCAAATTGGTTTTTGGTGCCTAAATAATTTTTTTGTTAAAAATAGGTTTTTGAGGTTTTCTCTTTTATCATTTTAGGTGCCCAAGTTGTAACAACCATTAAAAAAACTACGTTAAGTGACATATGTCACATTTTTGGTAAATTTGAGAATTTTTATTTAAAATAAAAAATATTATTATATTTAAAAAAAACCCCAAATTTTCTAAAATTAAAAAAAATCAAAATCCCTAAAATAAACAAAAAATCCCTAACACTAGACTTACCTCTTCCCTTATTACCACAGTTACCAACGTCGTTGATATAGATGACGTCACTATCGTCGCCAATGTCGTCCTTGTCATCTCCTTTGTCTTTCATCATTAGCCTTGACGTCAATATCGTCGTCATAGTCGGCATGTGTCTTGAATTCCAACCATTTTCGAAGATAGTCGTTTGTCGGGTTTACCGTCGATTTTATTGTCGTGGTGTTGTTTTAGGGTGACTATTTGGGGAGGTAAATAATCGTCAATGGATGCCTATTTGGGGATAGGCTCGGTCAAAGGTAACTACGACAAAATCAACTGTCGGTGTGGGTATATGATTGAAATTAGGGGTTTCAAAGTTTTGGGGTTTTAATATTTCTAAAATATTTGGGCTTTTTTTAAATAAAAATATTTTTAAATTTTTATTTTCAATTTTTTTTTTAAAATTATTAGAATGTGACACTTGTCACTTAACAGAGTTTTTAATGGTGTTTACGTCCCATGTACTTAAACTGATAACGGAGAAATTGTTAGACACCTATTTTTAACGAAAAATTCTTTAAGTACCAAAAGAAAAATTATAGTATAGTTTAGGAACTTATTTTTGTATTCAGCCTTTTTTTATATAAAAAAAAGATAAGACTCCCTGCAAACCAATTAATTGGCATCTCTTAATCCCACCCCTAATTTACAACAACCCATAATGTGATTCTTAATTTTTAATAGAAAGAAAATAGATGGAACATGTTGCTATTATCATGCCCTCAGAACCTTCAAGCCTAAACTGTCGTAATATCAGAGTTAAGGTCTGATGGGACGTGCGACCTTAGACACTTCTCGACACTTTTGGGTGTTCTTTACGATTAAGTAAGCCTTACCGAAGTCTAGTGAGCATGCAAACTCACCGAGGTTGGAACAAAGCCCTCAAGGCTTCTAAGATTCGGAAGCTTTAACTCTAACTTGGCTACTCCAAGACACCAAGGTTGAACTATGGTGTGGAAGTACAAACACAAGCATGACTACTCCTAGCCACCAAGAGAGGAAACAAGAACCAAAAGAATAAAGAACGAAGAATAAAAGGAATAGAGTAAATGCCTTAGAGTTTTATTACTCTCTCCCAAGAGAATGAATGAATGAATGGATTAATGAATGGATTAATACAACTGAGGATGAGAGGATCTCTATTTATAGTTGAGCTTCCTCTCAATCAATGGCTAGGATCGGTTTACATCAGTGGCCCATATCGAATACAATCTCCTAAATCACCCAAATTAAGGGATTATATATACAAGATCTTCTCTAAACTAAGGAAACTTGTTGAGTTAATCGATTGACGAATTTGGCCAAGAGGGGGGTGAATTGGCAATTAAAAATTTGGTGGAAGCTTTTGCAGAAAATTGAAAGTAATTGCACAGCGATTTAGAGTGGTTCGACTTTCTCAATCAAAGTCTACGTCCACTACCTTAGCTATCCACACTAAGGATTTTCCAACAAATTCACTAATTTGTTATTTCTTTTGAGGCCAAAGAGATAACCTTACAACACCCTCAAGAATATACCCCAATTCTTGAGAACACTCTTTCCCAAAGAGAAGATTACAAATTTGCAAACTTACAAGGAAAACCTCACAAGGTAAGATGTTTGCACAATTCTAGAACAAGAAAAGAACACTCAAAGATAATTACAAATGAGCGCAAATGGTGTTCTTGAAAGCAAAATGAATATTGAAAGGAAAATTGACTTGATTTGCACAAACTTGGTGTTTGATGCTTTCTCTCTTGTTTCTCTATGATTTCTTGTTGATCAAGGGCTTCAAAACTTGTTTAAATACACCTTGAATCACTTTTGAACGTTGGGGATGATTAGTGAAGATCATATAGCCGTTTTAGTGTGAAAACAATTAATAAAACAGCTTGGAGCGTGGGGGGAATCGGTTCCCCCTCATAGGGAATCGGTTCCCTAAGTGTAAAATTCAAATATTTCAACCGTTGAACAGGGGGGAATCGATACCCCCTATGGGGGAATCGGTTCCCTCCGAGCATTCTGGAAATCTCGGAGCCAAACCATTCAGGGGGGAATCGGTACCCCCTTGGGGGGGAATCGGTTCCCTCTGAGCAATCTGGAATTTTTGGCTTTGAAATGGTTCAAAATACTTTGAAAGATTATTTTGAAATTGTTTTAAGATTAAAACTTAATTTTACACTTAAGTAAGGATTAAAAATGATTTTTGAAATTTTTGGAGTAATGTTTTGATATTCGAATAATTATATCGAATATACTTAGAAAATCATTTGAAAAATCTTAAAATTCAATTAACTTAATTTGTTATATCGAAATATCAAAATGTTTTCAACAATCTCCCCCTTTTTGATATAACAAAACATTTTAGTAATTTTAAGATTTTGAAATCAAGTTTTGAAATTACTCCTCCTTACTTTAACACTTCTCCCATTTATCATTTAAAAAACACACACTTCTCCCCCTTTTTGTTAAATCAAAAAGATTCAAAGAAACGTGAAAATCATTTAGCCAATTGATTAGGTATATGTATGCATAAGCTGCTAAGATCACAATCAAGAGAAACGTTAGCCATTAGTTCCATAATCAATATTCATAAACAATGTGATATGGCAAAATTGGTCATATTGTAAATGATGCAATAATGAATAAATCACACCAAACATATAAGTTCACACCATCCATAAATCCAAACAAATTCACAATCAATCAATTCAAAAATTCAAACATTCCAAAATATTCAAAATGTTAAAATAACAAGTTTGGAGTTCAAAGTAAAACATTTAATCACATATCCGGATCAGGAGGAGGAAAACGAGCTCGTATAGCGGCCATTTCGTTAGTGAGGTCATTAATACGTGTGTTGGTTGTTTCATTATTTGCACGCATTTCCCGAAGAATTTCTAATTGTTGAGCTCCCATTGTGGATAAATGAGACACTATAGAAGTAAAGCGCGAATCCATGGTCGCATATCGGAAATCAAATGTCTCCATAAAGGATTGAAAATATGGAGGCATTTGAGTCGATTGTTGTGCGTGCTCCTCGGGTTGCTCAGGCTCATCTTCGGCTTCATCGATATCCCTCATTAATTGTTCAAACTCTGGATCTTCGTCAGCTTCGACTGGATCTTCGTCAGCTTCGAGTGGAGCTTGTGAAGAACTAGCTCCCGGAGTAGTTGCAGAAGATCGAACCCAATCACGGGTTTCTTTATTTTTGACCCATCCCGCTCTTGTTAAAGAAAGAAGATTGATTTGTTTCTTAAGAGGAAAGGAGGCATCTAGACCAACTCGAAGCTCGGCTTTAGAAAAGAGATTACTAAGGATACAACCGTAAACTAGTGAAGAACAGAGTTTCTTATTTGGCACTAGGTTAATGGTTTCAACAATCTCGGCAAAGATAATCTCGGAAAGGTTTATTTTTATATTATGTTCAAAACAATGCAACCACCAAAGATCTAAAGCTCTGAGAGTAGAATAACGACCCCCGGATGGTCGAAACCACCAAGTGATCATGAGATGAAGAAAACGCTCATGAAGATCTAGAACACTTGCACTATCATTTCGTTTATATCGAGAGCCTAAAACTTGTTTTTCATTTGATAAACCTTCATTATCCAAGCCTAAGGCATTGGCTATGTAAGCCGGATCAAGATGGAAATATTGACCTAGGAGGTAGGAACGTACTCCTATGGTTTTGGTTTTGTCACGATTTT